AATGGAAAGCGAGGCAAAGATGGATGATGAGGGAAGAAGGGGAGGACAGTAAAGACGGAGAGGGGGCTCGAATAATGAGAAATCGAATAAACGCACGAGCCGGATTATGAAGGTAATGGTGGTGCGGGTTTTCGGATAGAACCTTTGCGCGCGCGCGAAGTGGTTTGCATGGCTTCGCATTGAAATGTATGGGTGTGTCCTTGTCGGTACTTCGTCTCTGTTCGGTCCACGGCCTTGCTATTTCTTCGACTCGTTTTCAAGGCAAGTAGTGACGCTTCGCATATCCCCACTAGCCCATCCAGAACGAATCCCGTGCGAGCTGGCGGAGTGAGAGAAGAAGAGACACACACAGTGAAACAGCGCGGGTGACAAGGGTGAACTGATAGACCTCTGGAAGCAAGGGGCGTCGGTGCTGCTGATGCTGTTGTTGGTGGTGCTGCTGTTGGTGCTGCTGCTGGTGTTGATGCTGCTGCCGCTCTGCTGCTGATGTTGCTGCTGGTGCCGTTGCTGGTGTTGCGGCTGGTGCTGCTGCTGGTGCTGCTGCTGGTGTTGCTGGTGTTGATGCTGCTGGTGCCGCTGCTGCTGGCATTGGTGGTGGCGCTGCTGCTGCTGATGCTGGTGCTGCTGGTGCTGCTGCTGCTGGCGTTGCTGGTGCTGCTGCTCCCTCGGGATCCTCATGGGGCCTTCTTCGGGCTGTTTTACATTGTCTTGGGGGTCCTCTTCGGACTCTCTTATGGGGTGCTCGGTCTGGGGTCCCTTTCGGTTGCACTGGAGGGCTTCTTGGGGCCATCTTCGAGGGCATCGGTTGAAGGAGGGGGATCCTCCATATCGGGCCCCCCTTAGGAGCCTTCGAAATCGCCTCTTGGAGCCCTCTTGGAGCTCTTTGGGGGAGTCTTGGGGCCCTTTTGGGGCCCTGATGGGGCGCCTTGGGGTTCTCTTGGGACCATCTTGGAGCTCTCTTGGGGCCATCTTGGGGGCCTTGGAGGGCCTCCTTGGGACATCTTGGAGGCCATCGCTCAACGGATTGGGGGAGGGGGGAACTTTACCTCCCCCCGCTGGGGCCATGCAAATCGCCTCTTGGGGTCATCTAGGGTTTCGGGCGCTCTTGGGGCCGTCTTGGAGGTCCCGCCCCTCTTGGGGTCTTCTTGTGATCTCCTGGGGTCATGTTGAGGCCTCAGAAGCCCACCGGAAGCGAAAAGGCGAGAACACGACCTTCAGTGATATTGTTTCGATGTTTGAGGGATTTGGGCGTTTTTTTGAGGGGGGGGTTCTTGAAGGGGCGAGAGCACTCGGAGCTGTCTTGTCGCCCTCTTGGGGCCTCTTGAAGGCGTGCCGGAAGCTATCTTAAACAACCTTTGGCTATCTTGAGCCATCTTCGAGGCAATGTTGGACCCACTGAAGCCTTCTTGGAGCTATATTGGGCCCTCCGACCGCTTCGCCCCCGCCCCCCCCCCCCCGCCCCCCCCGTCTAGACCCGTGGGAAGGAAGAGGAGCTTCGGAAAAGGGAAGACAAAACTCGCTAGACCAGTTGCGCTCAGAGGGCTGTTGGGATCCAGGGTACCTGAGCGCGTGAAGCTTTGAGCTTGCCACAAACCACATCGCGTGAGAACCTAAGCGCGCGCGAAGCACCCACGTGGTTCTAGTAGATGTATATATACACATTATATAGATGATCGAGGATCCGTTTTTCGCCTCTTGTTGCTGATGTCATGCTGATGCTGCTCGTCATCCAGCTCCTCATCGGAAGAACGAAGGGGGGGAGAGGATGAATGATATGCGTCAACACATGTCGCCGGTTTGGCTCAAAGTGGCTCGGTGGCTGCAGTTGCCAAGGCCGTACGCAAGATTGTTTGCACACGTCCCGCCTGCATCGAGCTGATGACGTCCCAACCAAATGTCCAGCAGTTCAGCGCGGAGATGAAGGCTGCATGGGATGTCGTGGAGCAGCAGTTCATTCCAGACCAGATCTTGGGCCCCACCGTCGCAAGCGCCATCTCGAAACACGCGGCGCGAGCGTCTCAGCACGAGCTGCCGTGCGCCATGTCCATGATGGCGGGATGCATGTCCATGGCCAACGGCGGCGGGATCAGCGTGTTCCCCAACAGCCCGTCGCCGCTGATGATGGCCGTGTTGAACGTCAACTATCCACAAACACGGAAGTCAGCCATAACCGCCGCCCTCGCGAGCCTTGGGCGCGCAATGGACACGCGCGCTTCCAAGAGGGCACGCACTGCGGTGGGCCCCGGGGCGAAGGCCAAGACTTCCGTGCTCGCCAAGTTCACAGAGGCAGCCTTTTGGGAGCGGTGCGCGCCAGACTTTCAGCAAGTGCACGTGCCTTCGAAGCGCTCGGAGCAGGAGGGCGCGCCAGACCCCGAATCCTGTGACGAGGACGTCGCCCGGACCAACCATGGCACCCTGCTGAATCTAGACGTGGCGTACAAGATGCTTCGGATGCTGGGGATGATCGCGGACACTGGTGGCAAGAAAGAGTCCCTTGAAGTGACGGACTTCGCGTCCGACTTCAATCGTCTGTTTCAGACCGGAGTCGCGGCCTACACCACGAAGACGGCCGGGTCCTTCGGCGAGGACTCGGGGGCGAGCGTCTGCCTGGGCGTCGTGGGGAACGCCCATCCTGCAATCGCGATCCCCATGGATAGGGGTGACCTCGGCAACCGCCATGTTGCTGTGCGAGAGCGCTGGATAATCCTGACGGGCCCAGTGGTCGAACCCCACGCACCACTGCCTGTCGGCATCGTTGTGCCTATCGATTTCTGTCCTTGGTCCTGGCCAGAGCTCATGTCGACGATGGTGGAGCCGCTCGGGTTCCCTGACGGCGTGGACGCCCCGGAGATCGCCGCGCAGAAGCTCCCGCGTGCGCGGGACGTGCCGCACTCGGACGCCGGTCGGGACGTGCCGGGCTTGGGCGCCTTCGCGAACGTGTCCGAGAGCGACGACAACTACTTGCCTGATGCGGAAGGCCTCGGTGTTCGCAGAAGCGCCCCAGACTCAAGTTGTCCCCGCGAGTCTTGGGAGGCCCCCGTTTGCCTCAGAAACTACAAGGGGCCGCGGACACTTCAGCCTGCGAGCGCTTCTGCAAATGCCGGAAAGGATACTACGTGCAGTTCGCAGACGGCACGGAGACTCGCGTGCGCTTCAAGAAGGTGCAGGGGAAGTGGTGCCCGACTTTCCGGGTGCCCAACAGAGACATCCCCGTGCCCGACAAGGAGAGCATGGCTAGCATTGCTTCGAAGGTGCTCGACATGTTCGAGACGCCAGGGATCCAGCTCGGGTTCTCCGAGAAAGGGCTCCTGGCACTGCACGGCTTCCACACCATCTTCAACGCCAGGTGCGCTCAGGCGCGCAACGCAGACATGGTCTCGCTGTCTGCGCGTCTCGGCATCGCCCCGTGGCTCCTGGCGATGCTCTCAGTTGGCCTTGCCATCCTCGAGGTCGGGTGCGGCGCGCGCGAGTCCCCGCGGCTCGCCCCGGCGCCCCCGGCGCCCGCGGCGCTTGGCGCTCGCGGGCCTCAGGGGGTCGCCGCAGAAGCCGGGCAAGACGAGGAAGCTCCCGCAGAGGTCCGGGCGCCGCGCTACCCGGACTTCATCACGGATTCGCACGTCGTTCGCGCCTACAAGCTCTTCTGCGTGTTGGACGCCATCCGTTCGTGCTGGCACCCGGGGGAGGGCCAGGACAAGCCCGATGACCGCCTCCGCAGAGCAGAGCAGGCCGAAGAGCACGCTCGCATGCAGCAGGTTCGTGGCCCGCAGGTTGCCATCAGCCAAGCAGTGGAGAAGGGCTTTCTGGAGTACTCCCCAACGCAGACCCAGACCGGGGGCGAGCCGCGCGCAGAGGTGGCACCGCTCGCGGCCGCGGAGCCGTCGGGCGGCGCAGGCGAGAATGGATCGCAGGTCCCGCAGGTGGCCCCTGCCGAGGCCGCGCGCGGGACGCCGGGCGCGCCTACGTGCCTCCTCCCCACGGACGCAGACGTGCCGGCGATGGACGTCGGCTTCGGCGAGGGCGGGGCGTCGGTGCAGACGCCCATCCCCGGCTTGACCATGGTGCCAGACAGGCAGGTGATGCAGCGCGTCTTCCTCCGCGGCGAGGCGTTGGTGAGCATCCGCAAGGTCTGCGACGCCGTGAAGATGAAGCCCGACGGCACCAACGCGCAGGTCACGAAGCAGGTGAGCCTGAAGGCCGATCAGTGCGTCGCCGTGGTCAAGGCCGGCCTCGCGCTGTACAACGTCGGCGAGTTCGACCCCTTCGGCTGGGAGACTGCGCGCGAGCGCAGCGCGGCTGTTCGCTTGCGCCTGCCGAACCCCGACGATGCCACCGCCGTCGCCAAGTACCACAACCTGTTGATGCGGTGCTGCTCGGTCAGTTATTCGCAGCTTCTCCAGGGCATCAAGCAGCGCGAGGAGAGGGGCGGAGAGTCTCACAGGGCCCCCCGCGGCCGGCAGGCGCGCGCCGCGGACCCCGCGGCCACCGCGGCCCGCGCCCCCGCCGCGGCCGCCCAGGGCGCGGCATCGGGCGCCGGCGCGGCCGCGGCGACGGGTGGAAACCCGATGGGGGACCTCGTGGACTAGCCTCGGCGGGCGGTGGCTATCGCGGGCGCGCGGGCGCCAATGCACGCGGGGGCGCCCTCATCGGGCTAGCTTCCGCGCGAGAGCGCCGCCCGCGCGCGCCATGGGCGCGCCCGGGGGACGGGGCTCGCGGCAGCGAGGCCGACTTGTAGTTTTCGCCACGAGCGCCGGGCTGGCCGCTTGGCCGGGTCGAGTCTGGAACCGCATTGATTGTTACCGTTTGTTTGCAGGGGACCTCGCGCTGTTTCCCGCGCGAATGAGACGAATATCAGTCAGATTCCTCTTCGCTCGCGTCGGTTAAGTTCGGGAGTTGCGCGCGCATTCATCCCGGGCACGGCGCGCATTCGGGTCGCAGAGCATTTCATTGCCTCCTGCTCGTTACTTCCCTCCCCGATCTTCCACCCGTAGCCACGCGGGCTCATGCGCTTCCTGGGAAGACTTCCGGCGCAGGCAGGCCTCGGTCGCCAATGGAAATATGTTCCTCTTCGGCTGCTTGTTCTGCCTGCACGGGCGCGCTGCACCGCGAGCCCGCTCGCTCCCGCGAGGGCCTCCTCCTGCGGGTGGGCGGCTGGGAGAAGATAGTGCACGTCCCGCTGCGTTGCCACAGTGCGCGCTGCAGCCGCAAGTACCGCACTGTTTGGTACAACTACATCCAGATTGGGACGTCGCGGCGCTGGCACTGCCAGGATGATGCCCCGTTGTACTTCTTTGTAAACTCGACCATGGGGTTTTCCTTTGAATGGCTCCGGCAATTTCATTGCCGCCTGGCATACCAGCACGTCAGCTTCATGTCCGAGGCCCAAGTTCACCTCCGGACCGCCAGAATGCGCGGGGTTGCTCACCTCGTCCCGACCCGGTCGGATGACTACATGGCCAAAGTTTGGATTCTGTGGCGGATTCTGGTGCGCGCCCATGCCCGCGCAGTTCAATCGGGCGTCAGTCCAGCGGAGTCAGTCGGATCGATTGATCTCGCACTGCCTGCGCCTGATATGTTGCGCGGGATCGCACCGTGGTACCACCGCGCAATGGAGGCCCAAAGGGCGAGGCAATTTCACGCTGGTGAGAAGGACGCCACACTATTAGTCATGGATGGGAACCAGAAGCTCCGACGTCGCGTCTGCGGCTATCCGTATTGCGAGCATGTCCATTCGAAGTCGTTGGGTCTTGGAATGTGGCGCTGCTGTTCTGAAACCCCGGCGCAGCAACCAGGGAAGAGAAAGCGATCGGGTACGCATGGTGGCGACGCCGTTGAGGGCGGTGAACCGCCCGCCCACGGCACCGACGTCATTGAGGACGGTGAACCGCTGCTGAAGGTGCGCCGGCAGGTTGCCCGTTGCCCCGCTCATGCCCCAGCATCTGCCCCAGCTGGCCCGCGCGCGAGCTCCTACGACATTATCTCGCATCGGCAGAAGACCGCCCTGACCGACTCGGCCCGGCCAGTCTTCGAGTTGCAGGTGCGCTACAAGGCATTCCGCATGCGGCAGAAGCACACAGCTGTGCACCGGCAGCCGTGCGCGTGGCTGCCGGCGGACCACCTGAACGCTGCCGCCGTGCACGCCTACTTGTCCACGATTGCTGTCGGCGGAAACCTATCCCAACATAGTGATGCCCAAGCGTTAGGTCAGAGCATTTGCAAAACCCACAAAGAGGACGCCAAGACGAAGCGGATGACCGCGAGGAGTGGCGGTTGGCTCTTTGCGATTTCTGCGTCTGGGTGCATTTTGCACTTGGACGAATTCATGGGCGCAGAAAGCATCACCCAACGCTACATGTTCGTGGCGCGCTGCTGCGAGATACTCCCCGGCCTCGAAGTCATGGTTCATGACGACGCGTGCCACCTTTGCCGGTTCGCGCTCCTCAGAGATGGCCAAAGCGACATGGCAACGAAGATCGCCAAGCTGCGCTACATCACCGACCCATTCCACTCCAAGGGGCACGTCTGGAAGTGGTGCTTAGAGAACTGTGCGCCGACTTTGCCTGGCAACGCCGCGCGGTTGGCCGGCGTCAATGCCAACGCGTGCACTACAGGGAGAATGGCAACGCTATGGGGAAGGAGTTTGCCCGTTTTTTCCTCGCAGAAATGATGGACTTCCGCAACGTGGATTGGCTCCGACGCGTGAGTTCGACTCCGTAGATTATGTTTCACCGTCTCCTTGATGCTTTCCCGGTGCTTCCGGCGCCCGTGCGAATTACTGGGAATTGGTTGTCTCGAGCGTTAGTCGGCGGTTGTGGGGCGTGGACGGAAGTGGCCCGACCGGGAAATCGGTTCCGGTTTCGGTTCGTGTCGTGCGTGCGGGCGAGGCAAAGCTGCGCGAGTTCCAATAGTAGAGGACAGATCGAGCCCAAAGGGCCGTTCCGTGGGCCGGGCGCGCTTCCCGGTTGTCCCAGCGGTAGTCCCGCAGGTTGTCCCAATGGTTGTCCCGATGGTTGTGGTTGTCCCGATGGTTGTCCCGATGGTTGCCCCGATGGTTGTCCCGATGGTTGCCCCGATGGTTGTCCCGAGTGTTGTGGTTGTCCCGATCGGTGTCCCGATGGATAGATAGACATATAGATAGATATACTGATTGATAGATAGACAGAGACAGACAGATAGATAGATAGACAGACATATGGATCGATGGATCGATAGATCGATAGATGGTTTCTCCGGATGGTTGTGGTGCCCCGATGGTTGCCCCGATGGTTGTCCCGATGGATGCCCCGATGGTTGCCCCTATGGTTGTCCCGATGGTTCTCCCGATGGTTGTGGTTGTCCCGATGGTTGTCCCGATGGTTGCCCCGGCGGTTGTCCCGGCGGTTGTCCCAATGGTTGCCCCGATGGTTGCGGTTGCCCGGTTCGGTCCCGATGGTTGTCCCGACGGTTGTCCCGATGGTTGTCCCGATGGTCGCCTCGAAGGTTGTTTCTATGGATAGATAGATAGTCAGATAGATAGTAGGACATATGGATAAATATACAGACAGATAGATAGATACCCGATGGTTCTCCCCATGGTTGCCCCGATGGTTAGCCCGATGGCTGTCCCGATGGTTGCCCCAATGGCTGTCCCGATGGGTGCGGTTGTTCCGATGGTTGTCCCGCTGGTTGTCCCGATGGTTGCCCCGATGGTTGCCCCGATGGTTGTCCCGATGGTGGTCCCGATGGATAGTTATATATTTATATATGGGTCGACCGGTAAATATATATACACATAGATAGACAGATAGTTCATTAGAAATATAGACAGACAGATATACACACATATATATATATAAAAATCTGTGGGTCGGTCGATAGACAGATAGAGCAAGATTGATAGATAGACATATAGGTAGATAGCTAGATTGATAGATGGGTAGATAGATACTTGGATAGATAGACAGAGCAGGAAGAGCTGGAAGAGGAGGAGGACCGGGGGGAGCAGGAGGACGATGAGGAGGACGAGGGGGAGGAGGAGGCTAGATAGATGGGCCGAATGGTACCTAGATTGTGGGTGGTGGTTTGTAGGCAGTTGGCAGACAGAAGGTTGCAAATCATGTCCATAATCGCCACATCCATCACAACCACGACTCGCCATCATCACCATCACCGCCATCAATACCACCATCACCATGATCACCACCACCATCATGATAACTAACAAACGGTGCCAGATCGCTATCGCCACCAACACCACCACCATGGCCACTCACCATCACCACCACCATCACCACCACCGCCACCATCGACCATCGGCCACCACAAGCACCGCCACCACCGTCACCAGCATCACCACCACCACCATCACCACGCACCACCACCAGCATTACCATCACCACCACAACAACCACGTGGTACCAGATCGCCATCGCCACCATGCAGGGAAATCCTGGATTCTCTATCGACGAGCGAGGAGGAAGCAAGACTGGGGTAGAGGACGGAAGAAGGAGTAAGAGGGACACGAGGAGGGACGACGCCATTCTTCTGTCGCCCAATTTGTTGGTGTCTCCTCCATCCTCCCTCCCTCCTCTGTCCATCCTTCCCTCTGTCCTTGACCCCCCTTCGGCTGTCCAGGGTGTCCCCGGACTCCCCGGACTCCCCGGACTCCCTGGACTCCCCGGACTCCCCGGATTCCCCCGACTCCCCGGACTCCCCGGTCTCCCCGGCGCCCCCAGACTCCCCGGACTCCCCGGACTCCCAAGAGTCCCCGGACTCCCCGGACTCCCCGGACTCCCCGGATTCCCCGGACTCCCCGGAGTCCCCGGAGTCCCCGGACTCCCCGAACTCCCCGGACTCCCCGGACTCCCCGGACTCCCCGGACTCCCCGGACTCCCCGAACTCCCCGGCGCCCCCGGACTCCCCGGACTCCCCGGACTCCCCGGACTCCCCGGACTCCCCGGACTCCCCGGACTCCCCGGACTCCCCGGACTCCCCGGACTCCCCGGACTCGACCCAGATGCGCACCGCTCTCGAGTTCGACGCCGCCGCGGTGTTGTACGACTCACTCCATGACAGGTGGAAGACGTTGCAGCTCCGGTTTCGGAAACAGGCGCGGGCGAGCGCGCAGGACGCCGAGGTCGGCCGCTTTTGGACTCGGATGGCAGACCGCCTCCAGAAGTGGCGCGATGCCGACCACCTGCGCACGCAATTCCGATTGTGTGAATTCTCGAAGATCGCTGGGATTATCTGCAGGGGCCAAGGGCGCTGGCGCGACTCTGTGAAGTTGCAGCGACAGGCCGACGCTCGCCGGACGTCGGATGCGATTGATGCCGGCCTGGCTGCCTCTGCTGGCGACGGCGAGACCGCCGACAGCGACGCAGATATGGTCCAGGAAAACGACGACGGCGTCGATGATCTCCTGGCAGACCCCGCCGCCCTCGAACGCGAGCACGAAAGGTGCGCGGCCGCGTTCTGCGATGATGCCTGACGCCGCCCGCTACAATGCTGGAATTCGCCGCCCGCTACAATGCTGGCGCCGATGCCTGACGCCGCCCGCTACAATGCTGGAATTCGCGCGAGCGAGACGGGCGAGCGGCGCGAGCCCTCTCGATGCTCAGCTGCGCGCGGGGACGTGGGCGACGATGGAGCCTGACGCCGTCAGCTCGTAGTGTGGAACGCTGATATGTACCATTTCCGCCGCTGCTGCCGCCGCCGCTACAAGGATGCTTGGGCCCCGCCACCGTTACCTGCTCTGCAGCTGCGATTGCGACTGCGGTGAGGGGGGCCCGCGCGCGCCCCGCCTCCCCGGGAGGTGCCGACGACGCAGTTGTCGCCACTTTCGTGGGCCCCGTCGGAGCTGCCACCTGCGCAAGTGCCCCCAATGCTCGACGCTTCGCGCGCCCGGAGGAGGAGGAGGACGAGGAGGAGGAGGAGTAGGAGGAGGAAGAGGGAAGAGGAGAGAACCCAGGATGCCTCAGCGAACCCTGCTACGCACCCTCCCGCCCCCTGTCCCCGTCCGTATAAATCGGCGCCAGCGCGAGGGCGCCACAGAGACTCGTGGGAATCGCGAGAACCAGTTCTCAAGGCAAGCTTCGTTGTCTTTCTACGCTGTACTCTTATGCGCCCGTCTCTGTGTTTCGCGCATTCCCCGTAGGGCGGAGAGAGCAGCGTTCTCAAGGTAACCTTTTATCGTTTCTCTTCGCCGTTTTCTTATGCGCCGTTTTGCGTTTCGCGCATTTCCCCAAGGGCGGTCAGAATAGCGAGCTCCGAAGGGCCTGGTCCGCGCGCGCGCCGGCCACCTGCGAAGACAAGTCTTGGCCGTGAGAACGGGTTGCTGTATTTCCAGTGCCGGTGCCTTGAAAGCTTGCTTTAGGCAAATGGCACGGCGGTTTGCTAGGGCAGCGCGCCGGGTTTCGCCCGCGACGCTCCTAATGCATAGGCGGCCACAGAGGCGCGTCGGAACCCCAAACAATGATTCTCAAGGCAACGCTGTTCCCAAATGCGACGTCCGAAGGGGCCAATTGGCGCGTGCGCCGGCCACCTGCGAAGACAAGTCTTGGCCTTGAGAACGGGTTTTTGTTTTTCCTGGGCCTGCGCTTGGAAAGCCCGATTTGGGCAGATTGGACGGCGGTTCGCTAGGGCAGCGCTAGAGGTTTTTCGCGCGACGGTCCACATGCACCAGCCGCCATAGAAACGCATCGGATTCGCAAGAACCAGTTCTCAAGGCCAGCTTTTTTTGCTTCACTAAACCGTCGTATGGTGCGCTCTTTCTGCGTCTTTACGCATTTCCCATAGGACGGTCGCATTAGCGACGTCCGAAGGGTCCGGTCGGCGCGCGCGCCGGCCACTTGCGAAAACAAGTCTTGGCCTTGAGAACGGGTTTTTGTTTTTCCTGGGCCTGCGCTTGGAAAGCCCGCTTTGGGCAGATTGCACGGTGTTTCGCTAGGGCAGCGCTAGAGGTATTTCGCACGACGGTCCACATGCACCAGTCGCCATAGAAACACATCGGAATCGCAAAAACCAGTTCTCAAGGCCAGCTCTTTTTGCATCTCTAAACCGTCGTATGGTGCGTTCTTTCTGCGTATTTACGCATTTCCCTTTAATACGGTCGCATTAGCGACGTCCGAAAGGTCCGGTCGGCGCGCGCGCCGGCCACCTGCGAAGACAAGTCTTGGCCTTGAGAACGGGTTTTTGTTTTTCCTGGGCCTGCGCTTGGAAAGCCCGATTTGGGCAGATTGCACGGTGTTTCGCTAGGGCAGCGCTAGAGGTATTTCGCACGACGGTCCACTTGCACCAGTCGCCATAGAAACACATCGGAATCGCAAAAACCAGTTCTCAAGGCCAGCCTTTTTCGCTTCTCTAAACCGTCGTGTGGTGCGGTTTCCCTGCGTCTTCACGCAGTTTCCATGGGGCACGTTCGCATTAGCGACGTCTCGTCGCCGCGGGTAGCAGCAGGATGAGTGGGGGGAGGTGGAGGAGGGATAGGAACTTCAATAGCAGCGAGAGCGCGGGGGAGAGCGAGAGGGGGGGGGAACAAGACGCGCGCAGCTCTTAACGCCAAGGCCCGCGAAAGCGAACGGCGACGTACGAAAATATGTTAACGCCACGCTCCCAAGAGCG